AAAAAAAAAAAAAAAAAAAAAAAAAAAAAAAAGAAACAAGATTAAAAGGGAATCATATTTCTTATTTTCTATCAAGATTTGTATAGCTATCAGCTAGAAGCTTCCCCCACCCCCGTTTTGATTAATGCATTTCTTATGCAGCCCAAGTGATTGGAATTACTTTGAAGCAGAATTAAAAAGGCGTCTTGGAAGGAACTTTTTAATATATGGTAAGTTCTTTTTTCTACTGGTGGATGTCACCATCCAATGTATTATAAGCATGTACGTGTTATAATGTTTTCAAAATTCAGGTGCATCAACACGAGCGTTTAATTTATGACTTTGGAATTGTTGTTAGCAAGTAATAGATGGATGTGGATTTCCTCAAGATGTTAGGAAAGCTCAGAATTTTGGGAATTATCGTTACTGTTTTTTTATAACTTTATTATTCCCAAAAAACTGATGTGTGTATAATGAATTAGGCTTCTAAATAGGCTTCTAAATAGGCACATCCATAAGTAACCAGTTAGTGAACAGTTGATGCTTATCTTATATTTCAGTTACCTTCATTTATCTGCAGCAAGTTCGTCAAATACTTTTACTAAAACTTTCAGTGGAATTGATGGGGCGGGCAAACGATTAGCTGATGAGGTAGGCTGTAATCCATTCCGATATGTATTTCTTGAAACAGTTTCTAGCTCATTGAAATGTACATGTAATTTCATTAATACTCAACAATGATCTGTATGGCAATCAGGTCTTGCAAGTGGTACAACAAACAGAGAGCTTAAAAAGGATTTCTTTTTTGGCTCATTCACTTGGTGGTTTGTTTGCGAGATATGCTATTGCTGTACTCTACAATAACTCAGATTCATTGTCTAGTAGCATACCAAACGATCCTCGCAGTTCTTCAAAAAAAGGTGTGGTTGCAGGACTAGAGCCAATCAGTTTCATCACCTTGGCAACTCCTCATTTGGGAGTGAGAGGTAAAAAGCAGGTTGGTTTTTTAGAGTATTATTGGTTATCATAAGAAACCCTTAACAGTTGTAGTTTGATTTATAATTCGATACTTGACTGACACTAAGTTAATATTTGCTTTTCTTAGCTTCCTTTTCTTCTGGGAGTTCCCTTCCTAGAGAAATTGGCTCCACCAATAGCACCTATTGTCGTGGGCCGTACGGGTAGTCAGCTATTCCTTACCGATGGAAAACCTGATAAACCACCTCTTCTATTAAGAATGGCATCCGCTAGTGAAAAAGAGAAATTCATGTAAGTTAGCCTCTTTGTACAGTTTGTGGAGGCCCCTTGTTTGCGCCCTGTTTTTTGTTGGGCGATGTCACAAAATGGTCACTCTGTCGTTTTTTTCCCCTTTGCAGATCTGCGCTTGGTGCTTTTCGATCCCGCGTTCTTTATGCCAATGTAGCTTATGATCGTATCCACTGCATGCCTTATACCTTTTTCTTTTACTGTTATTTTGTTGATCCTTTCATATTTTGCCCATTAACCATTATCTCTTTTAAACACTGAATAGATATGGTTGGTTGGCGCACTTCATCTATAAGGAGAGAAAACGAACTTATCAAGGTGATGAGCCACTTGATTTTCGTATGTTTCCATTTTATCATCATTGAAAGCATTTCTAATCATAAGAACATAGAGAGATGAGAAATCTTGAAGGAGATTGGGTTGAGAATAGATATTATTGAGTTGTTGACACTAGGGAATTCCTTCTTGAATGTCTGTATGTGTGTGTGTGTGTGTATATGCACATGATCTAGTTAGGAGCAATGTACATTATCATTCTGACATCTTCTAAAATTCTTGGAAGCCCCCTCGCCGATCATTGGTTGGTTACAAGCATGTTGTAGACGTAGAATACTGTCCTCCTGTTTCCTCCGCTGGTCCCCATTTCCCCCCTGAAGCAGCTCAAGCAAAGGAGGCAGCCCAAAAATCACCAACCACACACAACACGGTGGATTATCATGAAATCATGGAAGGTATGAAACCCCAACTCCAGTAGGAGTTTAAACGTGGTGATTATTAGATGATTGTTTCCTTGCTCAATGTCACATTTTCTCTCCAGAGGAGATGATTCGTGGCTTGCAGCAGTTGGGATGGATAAAAGTTGATGTCAGCTTTCATTCCTCATTCTGGCCATTCTTTGCACATAACAACATCCACGTTCGTCTCTGATCGCTCTATTTCAAGCTGTTTCTTCTGCTTCTGTTTCTTATACGGAATGTATAATGACTTCAGGTGAAAAACGAATGGCTTTACAATGCTGGTGCTGGCGTGGTGGCTCATGTTGCAGACACCCTCAAGCAACAAGAACCGTCTTCAGTTGCCCCGGTGGCTAGCTTATAGCAGTAAGCCTTATCTCTGTGCAGTAGAATTTAACCACGCTGAAGAATCAGCAGAGAATATCACAGATTATTTGTGTTGTCATAGTTAAGTATATTATAGATTGGATGTAAGCTTGTCACATGTAAAAAGCTTAATCAAGGAGAAACTAAGGCTAATTAATTCTACATTTACTACAATAATTATGCTGAATAAAAAGCGACATTGATCAACCAAGTAGATGATTAGCTATCAAGTAGGAGTTGTTATGGTCGTGTTTCTTGATGATTGGTCTATTCATTGTAGCGACGAAGAACTTGTTGTTCTTCCAAGTTGTTTTGACTTCTAATAATTGAAACTATAAAATAAGGATTAGGCAGCTATCTCAATTCTCTTGCACGTCAGTCAATTGGTTGAAGTATTCACGCATAGGTCAAGAAGTAATCACCAGGCTACCAGGATGTTTCTTTTTAAATTTTAATGTACATATTTATATATATAAAGTAATATTCAAGGCAATGTCCATTCTAAGAGATGAACGTTTATCTTGAAATTAAAAATTATATTGATTTTCGAGGATGGAAGAGATCATTGTGGGTAGGATTTTTTTTTTCTTTCTTTTTTCATATCTTTGCAAACATAGTTTTTTTTTTTTTTTTTTGTATTAATTAAAAAGTGTTCGATTTGTAAGAGTCCAAGCTTACTGCAGCAGATATTGTCTATTGTGGCCTTGTTGTCAACCTCACGATTTTAAAATGTTTGTACTAGGAAGTTATAAGTGTCAACCTCATGGTTTTAAAACACATTTGCTAGGGAGAACTCTTATAAAAAAAATGTTTCGTTCCCTTTTCTAACCGATGTGATATCTCATAATCCACTTCCCTTAGGGGTCTAACGTTCTCGCTGGCACATCATTTAGTGCCTAGCTTTGATATTATTTGTAAACAGCCCAAGTCCACCATTAACAAATACTATCCGCTTTGATCCATTACATATTATTGTCAGTCTCACGGTTTTAAAACATGTCTATTAGAGAGAAATGTCCACATACTTTGTTTTTCTCTCCGTTCGATGTGAGATCTCACACTTTTAATAGTGTCGAATAAATTTCTAAATATTTATACACACGAACAACTTAAATTGATGCAGACCTCAAACTAGATCCATGAATGTGATAGATGGATAAACTGGTACAAGTCAGAAAGAAAGAAAGAAAAAGAAGATAAAAGTAGGGGCAAAAAGAAACACAGTTGTTGTAATATGAAACCAAAACAAATTCCCACAAAACATGTTCCCTCACTTCCTATAAGATCCTCTAATAATGTTTGTGAAAAGCCCTCGGAATTAACTAAACCTCGGATTTGGGGAAAGAAATAAGGAAGAAGAAATTGTTTGTCTTCTCCCTCTTTACCTCTGGTTATGGTGAAGATTGGTTATTCGCGACCAAAATCGGGAACTAATATGAGTTCTTTTAACATGTTTAGACACCGGAGCTCAATTCATCACCAAAATCAAAATTAGGCATCATATTTTTCCTCCCAAAGTTATTTAAACAAAGTCTGTATTATTTGTACAAATCTAACACCATCAAAACAGGTTTCTTTTTCCATGTTTTTTCCCTCAATCACATCGAAATTCTTAACACAAAAAACAAAAAAAGAAACAGGGGAAGAATAATCAACAGATTTGACCGTCTTGGTAACCCCTCCGTCGCTTTACCGGTAAAATTTGCCGGAACCCATCCTGTGCAGCTGCAGCGACGACATGCCACTCCTCAACCATCCCTTCCAACTCAAACGGCTGCACCGCCACGATCCCTGAAGAATCAAAGACGCAATTTTCCGGCAACCCACCAAAAGTCTGGCAAGGGGGTTTGGTTTTTCGGCGGCCGGCTCCAACAGGGACATTACGGAGGGCCCCACCGGCGGTCCAGTACCTCTGGCAGCCCTTACAGAAATGGCGTGGTTGATTAACATTGTAATTATTGAAGTAACAAAATTTGGTGTCCATGCTTTTGCATCTCGGACAGGGGATGATCTTGTCAGGCCTTTTTTCTGGCGATTGTTGATCTGAAACGTTGGGCTCTTCTTTAAGTATCCGGTTGTCGTGCAACATAATAGTGGCCCCAAACAGCTTAATTCCTCCCTCATGATCTTCATCGTTCTTCTTTCTCTCTGCCATCATCATATGGAGAAGAACACACACAACAGAATCGTTGATTTTGGGATTCAGCTTTTTTTCGAAGAAGGAATTGGAAATATGGGGATTTATATACACAAAGTCAAAACCCAAAAGTGCTTTTTAAGAAAGGCAAAAAAAAAAAAAAAAAAAAAAAAAAAAAAAAAAAAAAAAAAAAAAAAAAAAAAAAAAAAAAAA